TATTCTTCTCGAGCAAGATCATCATCTTGATCCTTATCATAGATAGGTTCTCCAAATTCTTCTACTTCATCCAATGGTTCATCAAAAATAGGATCATCGTCAAAGAGATCATCAGGTAATTTATCAAAAATAGGATACTCTAAAAGATAAGAGAACTATCAAAGATAGGACCTTCTACTGAATCTTAGAATATTGATAAAGATTGGATCATTTTTGTTCTTCTTCAAAATTATACTCCTATCAATGCCATCGCGCATTGAACCCATCTATGTAGGTTGATGCATTATAAGTCCGCTCCCACCCAGACTCATACTTAGATTCTGATTTGCAATATTCTCCATAAAAATGCTCACAATTCAGATCTATCCCTGTGGATTCCTCTTCGTTTAGGGCACACTGTTGCTGGCCTCAGCAATAGCTTTATAACCCCCTCCATCAAGTTGTTGATTTCCTTAAGCAATCGGATCAGATTGACATACTCATGGCTAAGACCTCCACGACCAACCATCATAATCTCTAACCATCTTCGAACCGAGCTCTGATACCACTTGATGCTGGAAGGAAAGGTACGAAATTGAATTCACCTTTTTTTTAACCTCAAACAAGTAAAAATCAGCAATTAGAGAGAAAAGCTATGTCTGGAAATCAAGCCAAAAAAAGAAAAACTTTCTTTCATAAAATAAAATTCATTCCAACAACATAAGAATCGCAAGAATTTGAAATGCAACCTTTATAAGCCTACGAAACCCTAAACTTAACTTGAAATGCAAATAAATATTTAGGATTCTAAAATACCCCTAAACGATACTAAAATTTCAGAAATACCCATGTAAACAGTAATGCATTAACAATACCCATGAACAGTACCTATGAATATTAACTAGTGAATAGTAAATACAAAATATAAAAGAAAAAAACTAGAATCCCTAAAACATAGACCCTAAAACTAAAACTAAAATATACATCTTTTAAAATTAAACAAAAATTAAAAATTAGAAAATTTTTGTCCTGCATCAATTTGGTAGGGAAAAGAAGGAAGACCTAATTAGTGGATCGAGAGGGGAGAACTTGAATTATATCCTATCTAGAGAGAGGCGTACGTGATTTTCTTAAACAGGGAGTCCTAGGATTGTAGGAGTGAGGGTGGAATTGCATGAGTTAGAGAGAGGAGGGACATGTTGGATACTTTTATTTATTATTATTTTTTTGGAGTCTAGGTTAGGCTTTGGTCTATAAATTAGAGATAAGAAGAGAGATGTAATCAGTCTTTCAAGTCTTGAGATTTTATTGCGATTCCTGTTATAACCAAAGAAAGCTATTGAATCTTGACTTGTAATCTTCCATTAATTTTCAGTCAATTCTTGAGATCTTTGATATTTTTTTCCTGTGATTTCAATTCTCCATCACAATTACTGTTCATAAACAGATAAGTTGATTAATCACGCACCACTTTTAAGGTCGTATGTGGAAGAGCTTTGGTGTTTAGGTCTCTCCCTCTAAGCCGTATGAACTGGGAAGTTTGGAATTATAACATTTCTTGCTCTTATCAAATTCAGATACTCTGCAGTGTCATCTTGTCAAGCAGGTGACCAGTTTTCTTCCAAAGGAAGCTTTTCAAAGACACTACTTCTGCTAACCGAATTGTTGCCTAGATAATTCTTAACTGTTGCCTTACTGAAGTTATTAAGCCTCCTCAATTCAAATAAGAAATTATGCAGGGGGTAGCATGTAGCATCACAAGGTCTAGTTTCTATCAAGCAGGTGCCTCGTCCTCTTCCAGAGGAAGCATTTCAAAGACATTAACTTTGACATCTACGAACTGAATCCGGTGCTTCAATTGTCAGGATACTTCCATCACTTTACTGAATTTGTTAGCCTCCTCATTCTCTCATCTATGCAGAGGTAATGCATGTAGCTTCACAAGTTCTAGTTTACATCAAGCAGGAAAACAGTCTTCTTCCAAAGGAAGCTTTTCAAAAATATTTTCACTTCTGCCAACTGAATGCCTTGCTTCAAATATCCAGATGTCTCCATATTTCATGGTTTTACTGAATACATTGGAACTCCTTAATCAAGATGGGAAATTAGAAATTATGCAGGGGTAGCAATTAACATCATAAGGTCTAGTTTATGCACAACACAGGACTCCTAAAAGATCCCAGGGGCTTCAATTCTAACAGTTTATGGATCTGTTTAACAGAGTGATATTGAAATGAGCATCCAGTGATCAGGTGAGATACCGGAAGGTGCCCACTCTGTTAAACAGTGATCATGCAATGAGTAGTGTCCAGTGATCAAATGATATATACTGGAAGGTGCTCCACTTTTGTGGTCAGGAAGGTGCTTACCCATCCTGATCACAAATTCAATAAGCTACCATGTATTGCCGAAACAAATGATATTGTCAAAACAAATGAAAGGATTAGTAAAAACACCTATAGTTATAATGAGCAAGAGTCCATCATGTTTTGAAATCTTCAACGGCAATCTAGAAGGCAGTAAACATTGCAACTTTTTCAAGGTAAACTGACAGATCTATAAATGCTACAATAAGAGCTAAATTGTTCTGCTCTTTTGGCCCCTGAGGTTATTCAAAAGCGACTACGACATTGTGGCCTCTTCAATATGGCCAGCGAGAGAATGTCATGCTTCGAATGAATTGGGAGAAGACATTGTCTTCTTAAATGAAATATAATTTTTTTTTACCAAACTATATTTAAAAGTACTTTTGCCTAAAGTCACCTTCAAATAACCTGGTTGAAGAGAGCTAAAGAAAGACCAAACAGGCTGAAGCCAGCTGAGATTCATTACAAGCAACTACTTTGAATTGAAGGCCAATGCCTAAGGCTTCAGTCCATAGTAGTTGGGGACGGGAACAGGATCGGGAGTGGGATCGGTCCGGGATTCGCCGAACCGCCCTATAGTGGAAGCTCCCTGGGGTTAGGATTGGTGTCCGTACAATGATCAAGACAAGGAATGTGATCCTTAGGTTTATAGGAGCGAGACCCCATGTCAATGGGTTTGATGTTTTGACTAGCAGGAATCTAAGGTCCACTATACATAAAAATAGGCTTGTCAAGTAGAGCTAGTACGAGTTCCCTTGGTTAAGGAATCGAGGTTTAAGTATGTCATATAACGGGGTTCCTCCTTTATTAATATCGAGATTCTTAATTATGTTTGGCATATGTTTTAAGTCTTAAGTATCACTCTCGGGAATGGTTAACTATGCCAACTCCTGGTTGGGAAAAGAGGCTAAAGCTGCACCACAATAAAGAAGTATCAGCATCTTATCTTGCTGCGCTTGAGGGGCAGAATACAACAACAGTCTTCTTACTCCCGGCATCCATTTCCAACATAGGAACAATGTCAGCTATTTCATGGCGGGATATATATGGTAGTGGCGTTCTTGAATTATATTCACTAGCTGTAAAGGTGTTGTCTCAGAATGTCAACTCGTTATGTGTTGAGAGGTGCTGGAGTACGTATAGTTATATTCACAGTGTTAAGCGGAACAAGTTAAATGCTCAACACTCCGAGTCATTGGTTTATGTTCACTACAATGACAAGTTGTTAAGTAGACTATGATCATACTATGCAGAGGAGTACAAAGTATGGGATTTTCATCCTAATGATGACCACCTCGAGGATGATGTTGGGTATTAGAAGCATTAGCGACCGCCTTGATGCTGATGATTAGGCTTGTCAAAGTGCTCCATTACTAAGGCATGTCCCTCTCACTACATGAAAGCATATATTCTCATCTCACAACTAAGAGGATTCATCATTGTGATATAAGAATCTAAAACAATAGGACATCATAAATATAAGGTTTTAAATGAAATATATATTCTCACAACTAAGAGGAATGGCTTATACAATAGGACTTAATAAAACAATAGGTCATTCTAGACTATGCCTAGTTCAAATTAAGAATATAAAATAATGGAACTTCGTTCTATATGAAAAAGAGACTGGATTTTACGATCATGGAACTTATGATTCCCAAATAATGGGAACTTGGGATAATGGAAATCTCTAACTTGATATCATTTGTTCATGAAAGCAGATCCCACAAACATGGAACCCAAGATTTCAATGTACCAAAACCTTGGACCATGGTTGATGAGAGCGAGGATCTATTTCGAAATGGAATTGGATTGCACTGATGGATGGAACGTGGTCCGCTTTATGTGGGAGCGAGATCCCAAAATCGTAAAACCGGGGTCCCTACAAGATCCGTTGCAGGAATGGGATCAAGGTTTCGGAGCGGGATCGTCACCCTACCCATAAGGTTCCCTTAACTATGCTTCAGTCCCATCTCATCTGCTTAAGAAGAGGTAACAAAATTAGTATAAACACCAGATTACTATAAGTCAACCATTAGGCCATCGGAGAACCCAAAGCTGACCTTCAGATCATAAGCATGATTAGATTGCATAAGTCCTGCAGCAACATCTTCAACATTGACACACTGAACTTTGGTGGATTCGTCAATTAGGCCAGCAACAGGTACAGGATTGCACATCACACTGAACCTTCCTCATGCCTTTACGGATCTTTTCAAGTAGATATAAGCATGCATTGTGGACGAGGTTCAGCGTTGTTGTTGCAGGATTAATATTGCACTTGTGTTTCCAGATGCTCATAATGGTTCAGATAAAGGTTGTAGAATTGACCAATATTCTCCTCATACAAAAGATTCAAGGTCCCTTTTGAAGACTTTTGAGCTGTTGCTATCTGACTATCTTCACAAGCAAGTAAAAGAAAATATAAACGACCAACAAACAAGAGCACACACTATTCATTTCATCCTAAAATCAAGCTAACAAATAAGACTAACACCATTATGCATATGGAAAGCATGTACATATCAAATCACGACTCAATACAAAATATATCAAGCTAGTCATACATCAGTCAAGAATTTGATGGTGGAGAGGTGCCTGCTAAATGAACATGCAAGTTGAGTCCTATAAAAAATTGGATAGTAATACATTTACCTGCAACGCCACCATCAAATGGCACCAATCCAATTGACTTCGGAAATGATTCTTGCAATACCATAATCTTTGATTCCAGTGAGTTCACCTAAACATTGCATTGATATAAACATAGAGAACTCATTTATCCCTCATTAATATGCAAGGAAAAGGCACAGGCCGTCAATGGATTTAATCAATATTCTCAAGGCCCACTTTTCTCAAGCTTTAATATTCTGATATATCAAACTAAACCAAGTGGTGGCCAGTGAACTCCATGGTCTTTAAATCGCATGTTATTTCAAATTGCAGGTAACTGTTGGCCAATTAATATTATTTTTATTTTTTCAAAAAAGAAAACAGCTCCCTGCAATAGTATCTCTAATCAGGGAAGTACAACTATGAAATAGAGAATCTTACATATGAGTACACGACCTACAGAAAAGGAACCAGTCCAGGAGCATACAATTGGCAGAACAAGCAACAGAATCTACTAGCCTCAATTTCAAATTCAAAAACCAAACCTGAAATACAAAACATTAATGCATTCACAGAGTCATCCAATGCAGACACACAGACTCACAACTGATATCCTTCCAATACATACAAAAGTAACAATACAAATTTGAAATAAAACGATGCCTTCAGTAAAACGTGAAGCGCGGAAGACCCATAAAATCCAGGAAACAGATTGTTTGCTGTGCAGCTCACCTCCATTGTCCTCACTCAGGGAATAATGCAGCTCATAGAGAATGAGTAGAAGCCTTTTATCTCTTCTTGCACTATTCTAAACCCTGAGGTTTCCACCAGGAAATCCTGACTTTCTCAACAATTTCTGTGTCATTAAAAAAACCTTCTAAAATATCCATCGAAGTTCTAAAAGCCTCTTTTCCTCAATAATTTAAAAACTACTCGAGTGTGCAACAGTGAACTTCTTTTATGTTTTGAGACATTTTTAATTTGAAATTTTGTCTTTTGTTAAATATTTTAAAATATAAAAAGCCTAATACAAGATTAGCTGAAAGAGAGCCATCCACTGCACCTAACTGTCAAACCATTCTCAGGAACATAACTGGTAGAGCCAAAGCCAATGAGGACAGGTGGAGTTTAAAAACGTTTTGGTCTACGCTACTAAGCTTGTTTCTAGTAGCAGTCACAAAAACAAGTTCGACAGCCTAATAAACACAGCACGACAATCGAGTCTTCAAGAACAAGTTAGGCAAACTAGCTTAAAACCAGTGCAACTCGACAATTGGATAAGAATACTTTAGCTAATTAAAAAGACCTCCTAACAGGTTTATTAGTCAAGAAAGTACTTTAGCTAATTAAAAAACCTCCTAACAGATTTTCAGTTTCAAAACTTGAGAGACATGTTCCTCAACTTAATGTTACCCATTTTGGTATCTCCCGCTAACCCTTGGTTGATGAAATTTCTGGTTAGCTTGCAAATTCCATAGTTGTTGGAACGTCGTAAAACAAAATAGTTAAAATGTAAACATATCCATGAACAATAAAACTCTAATCATAACACTATTACTCAGAACCATAGTTGTTGGAACCTTGTAAGGAAAGGCCATGGACCCACTCCGGAACCTCGATCCCATGATTCCAGGATGGAAAGTGGATCCCTATATTGTGGTCTCATTCCTAGAGGGTTTGAACTGCAGTTCTCAAGTATATGGTGCAGTGCATATGATGTTTTCTCTATTAGACACTGATTCATATGCACTAATTCAGTGTACCCAATGGTATTGTGAACTCACACATCAATCGCAATCCCTTAAAACTTATTATTGCGATTCCTTCCTGATGGAATTCATGCTCCCCTAGGACAAGGATCACACTTCCTTGATATAGGATTGTACGGACGACAATCTAACCACACGGAGCTTCCAACAATCCACGGTTTTGTAGACCAAAGCCAGCTCCCGCACCTGACAAGGCTTCAACTATGCTCTAAACATTACACAGTTATGGTGCAATGTCATCACTCCCGCCAATCAATACAATACAAAGACAACAACAACGAAAAAAAAAAAAGGATTGTGGTTTTGTTTTAGCATTTTTTTGGTCAATTCCCAGCTTATTCCATGATATCTTGGATATAAGAATTAACAGTAGTCCCAAGAAGAAGGATCCAAACATTCAATTAACTAATACCTCTTTTCAAGAGGAGTTTATATAGAAATATCACTATAAGGGTTTTCTTAGCAATCATCATCAGCATCATTCAAGCCATATCCCAACTATTTGGGGTTGGCTACATGAATCTTGCTCTACCATTCCATTCTATCAAGGGTCATACCCTCAGTCAAGCCATAAGTCACCATATTTTTTTACTACTTCCATCAATCTCCTTTGGGTTGTTCCCCTTATCTTTTCAGAGCCTTCCACTTGAACCAAACCGCCTCTCCTAACTGGCATTGATCGTGGTCGATGCTACACATGACCAAAGTAACTACGTCTACTTTCCATCATTTTATCGCCTATTGGAGCTACCCCTATGTTCTCTCAGGATGTATTCATTCTGAATTCTGAATTCTGATTTCCTTGACTTGCCACTCATCTCAACATCCTCATCTCAGCTACACATGACCAAAGCACCTACGTCTACTTTCTCTCATTTTATCGCATATTGGAGCTACCCCTATGTTCTCTCAGGATGTATTTATTTTGAATACTTCTTTCCTTGATTTGCCACTCATCTCAACATCCTCATCTCAGCTACACTTACTCTATGAATATGTTATTTCTTGATTATATGGCCGATCTTATAGACGTCTTATAAAACTTCTCTTTCAGTTTCATAGGTATATGACGATCACATAAACTCTAAATGTACATCTCCACTTTCTCTACCCAACTCTACTTCTATGAGCAACATCTTCTTCAATCTCTCCACTCTCATGGATTATCGAATCAAGCTTTTGAAATGATCTTTTTAGGTATTTCTTGGCCAACAATCTTAATTAATTCCTTGTTTTTACTTCTAGTATTGCTGAACTTGCATTCCATATATTGTTTTAATCCAACTATTTTTAAAACCTTTAAATTCTAAAGCATCCCTCTAACGTTCGAAATTTGCACCTACGTCATCTGTAGTCTCATCATTCAAAACTATACCATCCGCAAATAACATATACCACAAAACTTCATCCTGTAGATTCCTAGTTAACAAGTCCGTAACCAACACAAAAAGATTGGGCTCAACGCTGACCCCTGATGTACGCTTGCTGTCACTGAAAACTCACTTGTCTCTCCACTAGTTCTCCTAGTTAGTAGTCCCTCACACATATCTCTAACCATGTCAATATATCCTCTTGAGACTCCTATCTTTTTTAGCACCCACCAAATTATCTCTCTAGGTACCCTATTGTATCATTTTTCTAAATCAATAATGACCATGTATAGGTCCTTTCTTTTTCCCTTAGGCTACTCAGTCAATTGCCTAAGTAGGAAATAGCCTCAAGGTAGATGTCCATAGCATAAATCCGAACTAATTTTTTGATACACTAGTTCCATGTCTAATTTGTTGATTAATCATTTCCTCTCACAGTTTCATTGCGTGGCTCATAAGTTTGATCCCTCGATAGTTCGTAAACTTTGTATGTTTCCTCTGTTCTTGTAAATAGTAACTAGGGTGTTTTTCCTCCATTCATCTGGCATTTTCTTTGTCCTCAAAATCTTGTTGAACAACTTAGTCAACGAGAAAATATTAATCTCTCCAGGCACTTCCAAACCTCTATTGGCATACCATCAAAACAAGCTAGATTTGTGTGGATTTGGGTTTCCTTGCCAAAAAAAAAAGGGCTTCTTGGCACTATTCACAATCTATTTTTACTGTTCACACTCCAAAAGTGTTGAAAACTCTAACACTCCAGACCCTTTTATTACATTATAGTAGAAAAAGCTAAAACTACCCCCACTTAAGTTAAAACATTATAAAAATTTCCCATTAGTCCTTTCAATTAAAGACAAATCATAACGATACTTTTACCCCTGATAAAACAAGTAATTCCATAAAGGCACGTTTGGTTGGTGTGAAAATATTTCTTTTCAAGGTAAATATTTCTCGAGAAATTTTTCACAGTAAATTGCCTTACACATATCTTGTAAGGGAAGAAAGACAAAACCGATGATAAACTATTTTACTAAAAAATAGTTCACTTTGCATTAAAATAAAACCACACCTCAACCCATGGGAAAGCATCCCCATTATTCATTATTCACTATTTACAATATAATATATATTATATAATTTTTTTTTTATAATTTTTTTTTATGTTAACATTATATTACTAGCAGAGAGTTACATTGAAGTCCGAGATCACCCTAGAGAAGGGTGACTCATTAAAAAATGGTGCTAGCCTACCATATACAAAAAGGGCTTATAAGGCCACCCAATTACAACAATTTACAATAAGCTTTTACAAAAATACATCGAGAGGGAAAAACCAAAAAAAGCGAGCCACATTAAGTCGTGAGCCCCTGGTCCTGAGCAAAAACGGAGTCGGACCTAGGTAGCGCTTGTCCTTGGCCCTGGCTTCTAGCACCCTCTTTTCCCAATAGACCTGCGATGTCGTTGGACGTCCTTCAAATATGCCTCCAGGAGCCGTCCATATCCCTGCATATATGATCAATTTCGTCAAACAATGAGGCTAAGTACCACGGTGGTGAGCTCGTTCTCCTTGCCCATGAGATAGCATTATAGGAGTCTCCTTCTACTAGCAATAGAGGGCCCCAGGAAGGATCGAAGAATTTTAAGCCTATTAGGAGGGCAAGAGCTTCGGCATGATTGGAGTCCTTTATGCCAATGTTCTCTGAGAAGGTTAAAAGGACGTTGCTTTGGTGGTCTCGAAAGACCCCCCCAGGCCCTGCCGGGCCAGGGTTCCCTATGGAACACCCATCGAAATTCAGTTTGATGCATCCTTGGGGTCGTGGTTGCCAAGATGGTGGTGAAGAACATTGATCCATTGGGTAAGGAAAAAATTTCCTAGGATTCCAAAAAGAACCTTGTGATTGGAGGCCTAAAAGGTAACCAAAGAGATAATCTTGTGAAAGAGAGCTGGTGTGTGAAGTTTAACACCTTGGAATACTCTAAGGTTTCTT